GTTGATCTTACTTTGCGGGGCCACCGACTGTCCCCAGAGGGGACCCATCTGCTCTCCCTGTTCCTCCCACCGGGACCTGGTTCTCAGTGGCGGCCATGGCTGGTCCTGAAATGGAGCTGATCCATCCAGTGGGAGCCAGGCGAAGCCCCCGGCAGAGCTGGGCCTCCTGGGCACAGGGTGAAGGGGGCCCCGGTCCTACACTCCGTGCCCCAAAGTAAGTTCCAGAAGGTTAAAGACTGCTGTGCAAAACCGTGAGAAAATTGGCAAGAACATTGAACTGATCAGGGGGTGGAGAAGGATTTTTGAAGCATCTGAGGCACTACTGACCCTGTGACCTGGGTGACTAAAGCACATGTTGACGGGGCGGTAGTCGAGACTGTCAGGAAGCCCCGGCTGTGCGCTGGGACCGACACACGCGGTGCACGGGAGCCTCAGCCAGGCCGGGGAGACGGGCGGACGCTCCTGCGGGACTGTGGCAGCAGCACTCGGAGGGGCAGCGCGACACTGGGTGCGGGAGACGCCACCCTGCGGGAACGCTTTCTAACTAAAGACTTATGTCACCGTATGATAAGGTTGATGTTTTCGTTTGGTGCAGATCCATGAACTTTACCACATGCATAAATTGATGTCACCGCCACAGTCGAGACACAGAACAGTTTCGTCACCACAGAACACGTCCTCGTGTTGTCCATTTACAGTCGTACACTCCCCCACCCCGGCACTACTGAGACGTCCATCAGTCCAGTTTTGTCCCTTTGAGGATGTCCCATAAACATGACCACACGAGCATAAGATCCAGAGACTGGCTTCTTCCTCTCTGTGCGTGCCTGTGACATGCGTCCGTGCGGTCGCAGGTGTTGACGATGCCCTTTGAGTGTTGAGTAGCTCCCTCCTGTGAATGTGAAGCCTGGTTCCATAAGCCAAGGGGGGAGTCGACGGGACCCCTATGTGGGGGCTTTGAGGAGAGGCCATGGGACCTCTGTCTTCTCCACAGACACTTCCAGCCCCACGTGAGGTGTCCAGTCACATGACACATCTGGGCACTGGAGAAACGGCCACCGTGCGGGTCACGGCACATTGGACGCTCTCACAGGCCACCCCTACGTGGAGCGTGGTGAGCGTGCAGTGGCCGCCATCAGTGTGGGCGTGGACCCGCCGTCCTACAGCCCCGGGAGGTCTGCGTGCTTCCCTTTCCCCAG